GAGCAACTGGGGACTCAGCTGTCCCTTTTGTTGAACTTGGACCTACAACAGGGGGAAGAGGTTTCCAAGCAGAGTGCGGAGAAGGAGGTTGATGACTATAAATTGGACACATTGTGTGTAAGTTTCTGTGGCATATACAACTGGATGGTCAAGTAGGCATTTTAAGGTTTTGCCACTTGTGGGAGAAACCTGGCTAGAGATATAGAGTTGGCTGTCATCGAATAATGCTTTGTATTGTCTACCTGATTGAAACTTTAGTAAGGGACCAGAGAACAGTTTACAACTGCTTTGGTTTTATTCTTTATGCATGAGGATTTTTAAAAATAATTTAAATCCATGGCTGGAACTTAGTGTATTCACTCCAATCTATCTATGGATATATAGATATGAATAGTTAGATGGTATGCAGATAGATGATAGATAGATAGATAGACAGACAGATTTAAACTAGGGAAAGGAGTTTCAATGTGAAAAACACAAGGTCCTGAACACATGTACTTATTATGTGTTAAGGTGTAGAGAGAAGAGGTCAGTTTATGCCTTATGTTCTTTTCCTTAATTGTTAATCCATTGTGTTGTATTTGATTTGGGTCTTAGACACTGTGTCAGCATGGCAGGACTAGGAGCTCAGTTTAAGTTCAGAGTGACCTGAAACATCTCTTTCCAAAAATATGACTAACCACCCTCAGAGACTGGCTAGAGCCTCTGTAGCCAGATGGAAGAAAATGTGCACTCAAACAAACCAGGACCTGTGGCTTGAGCAGTAGATGGGGTGAAGGTTGTGGTAAGTTCTGGCCTGCCGGGTGTGGGTGGGCTTTGGGTGCACCTTGCTGAGCTGTTTCAACCTTCTTTCCTGTGCTTCTGAAGCTGTTTCCCAAAGCTGCGATCTGATTAGTTTGCATTTGATTTCTTTGCTGCCTAATGAACTGCCTGTGTAGTTCTAGCTGTGACATCATTAGCATCCATTGCCTTGGGCACCAACTCGGGAGAGAGATTCTTAAGCAGTCCCAGAATCCAACAGGAACTGCACCAATTTATTTCACAACAACCAATTCACCTTCATGACCTATCACTTCCCACCAGCAGAGCAGATCCTGCATGAAAATGGGTAGGTTGCTTTTGCCATCCTCCTGTGCCCTGAGTCTAGGTGGGTCAATATATACATGCTTAAGGCCACGGACACATACACAATGAGATTTTGAGCAGTAAGGATGCCAATAATCTCATACCACAGCATTCTATTGGGGGAACTCATACTGTGTGCTGTAGGATACAGATTTAGCCTAAAGCAAATGGCATTTATTTATAGAAAACTGTATTTGCAAAATGCTTTGCAGTTTTAGGGTTGTTAACTACATTCCAGGTTGGATGTTCCTCTACTTGTAAGGAAACTGTGTGTCCCAGCCAGACACAAGAGCCTCCTCTGAGAGCAGTGGGGATGAATTCTGCAAGTAGGGATGGAAAGAGGCCACGTTTGGGTATTCTTTATTAGAGAGCACTTTTACCAGTTATAATCTTGGGAGGCCTTAATCACAGTTTATAACTTATGTCCAAGACTGTGTACTTCTAAAATAGAACATTTATATTATATTTCTATATCTATATTCATATAGAGAGCATTTCTACCCAGACTGTAGAGGGTAGAGGAGGGAAAAAGAACCCAAGGATTGTAATAGGAGTGGGCAATGGAAGGGGAGATCCATTAGGAAATAAGGTGGATTTTTCGCTCTGCAACTCTACCGATGAACTTCTCTACTACCTACTCCAACACAGAGGGGAGCTAAAAGCAAGTGTCAAAGATTGGACTCTCCTGAAGCTTTTCGGACCTGAACTACTCTTTCACTTGAAAGATGTGATGGTTATAGGTGCTCTCTTTGGGCTAAGGGAGATTTATCTGGACTTTCACCACCAGACTCCATCATTTTAAGGAGTATTTCCCAATTGTATCTTTAACCGCACATAGAAAATGCATTTACTCCTTGAAAGATCTCTTTCACATTCTCATCTCTATTCTTTGCTGGAACCTGAATAGATGGCTTTTGGGAATTCACTGCTCATTGCTTCTGTGCAAATCCAGCTCTTTTGTAGACAGCTTCATCCAGTGTGACCAGGAGACCAGAGGGGACATTGGTCTTGGCCTCCAGCGGGGACTTGACTATTTTCCGGAGACAGAAAGTGGAATTCTGAATTTGAAGAAGAGTTTGGTGGCCTCCAGTCATCTTTTTTTCTGCATCCTTCCCATCTCTCTCTACTCCCTAATCTGGCCGAGTATCTAGGGCTGAAGGGTATTGACAGGGATTAGCTGCATCTTGATTTTAATTGGGATAGCCAGAAGACAGCAGCGAGGGGAGCAGCCCCTCACGTTACAGCAATTACAAGCCTTAATGATGGAAAGCTGGAGGGCAGGGAAGACTATGGAACCCTCTGTGTTTGTGGTTGCAGTGCCCCCTAGTGGATAATTTGACAGTCAGGCGGATGCATCCCTAGTCGTGAGCAGGAAGAATTCCTGGGTATTTTATTAAGGTGAGAGAAAGGGAATTTGGTAGCATATTTCCTCCTTTCAAGAAAATTTTACTCCATGTCAAAGATATTGAGGGAGAGTTTAGTTTTCTCTTGTGAGTTTTATTTTCCCTTATTGTCCTGTCATTACTATCTGTCATATTTTTCTCCTTAGGAAACCTGGTACAAAATTGTTTCACTAGTTTGACTTTTTTGTTATCCAACTGAAGAAAAGTACTTGCACAAAATTGTTAAAATAGCCACGTGTTATTTTTCCTTAAGTTTATTTTCCGTGAGCCCACAAATTTTAGATTCGATACCGCCATCTAGTGGTCATTTGTGGAAATTCTTTTCCCTTCATTAAAGAATAATGAAGGGGATGAACCAAACTGGAGTACAATATATGTAGATATGGAACTGTCACAACGAAAACGAACCCCCCTGAATAACTATTACATACTAATAAAAAAGTTTAGAAAAGGAATTCTCAACGAGGGCTGGCAGAGTGACTCAAGTGGTAGAGTGCCTGTCTAGCAAGTGTGAAGCCCTGAGTTCAAACCCTAGTACCACTGGAAAAAAAAAAAAAAGAATTCTCAACAAAGGAGGGCAATGGGTTGGTTGATAAGGAAATGCCTCTGATTTTAAGGTGCTAACAAGCCAGCCAAGAGATCCTCTGGCAAGGCTTCCCCACAGAATTTCAAAATTATGATTTTTTAAAAGAAATATTTAATTTTTAACTGGGTTTTTAAGAATTCATCTGCTTTTCCACCAGAAATCAGACCAAAGGTCCAGAGACTTCACTCCACCCTCACTTGGTGCTGCTTAGTCAATACAGTGGACTTAGGAAGATTGCAGGCCTGCCAGGAACTGGGTAGAGAGAGCTGACCAGATAGGAGACCCTTTAAAAATATGGCCAGCTTGGGGGTGACTGAGCTGCATACACCTGCACCTGAATGTTGACAAAAATGTACCTGTGGGGAAACTGACTTTGGGGCTAGTCAGTCTGGGCTCCTGGGTGCCATCATTTTTGTTTTTGATGTGTGCAGAACTTGAGGTCAATTCTTGAACTATCATTAAACAAAATCCAAACGTTACAAAATACACCCCATATTTATAATCACGAGTGCATCCTTTGCCTTAACACACGGGAGGAGGCCCATGTCACAAGCTGCCTCACCCACATAGAGATGATGTTCATCTGGGAACGGAGAGAACTGAAATGCCCATGACTTTCCCAAATGGGCTCATATTACACAGCAAAGAAGAGGGGGACTAGCAGAAGCTCCTGGGACTCCATAGGAGAGAACTCCTTTAAAAAAGTTGATGGGTCATATCTTTCAGTAATTTTCTGGAACCACTTTGCAAATCCTTCCAATCAGTTCACACAAAGATCAGGCCCATCAAAGTACTTACATTCTTGATGAGTCTGTTGGAGTCCAGAATAGATGCTTTGTGTATGCCTGCTGTTTCCACAGACACAGCAGTGTATCTGAAATCATTTCCTGCTTTGGGACAGCAAACTGCACCAAAAGGAATCAGAAATCTCTTAAAAAACCAGTACTTTTCATCAGCAGACTCTGTGAGAGTTAATAAGTCAAATGGAGAACTGTGAGGAATAGGAAGAGAAACAGCAAGCAGTACTTTCTTATGTGGGGAACAGACCATTATTCTCAGGTAGCCATTTCCCGTGTTCATCACCAAAAATAGACCAAGAGCTTCCCTAACTACCTTTGACTCATCAAAGTGCAAATCTTTTTGAAAAAGTCAGAATGTACTCTCCTTTCCCAATACATGCATTAACTATAAAGCTGAGAACTCCTGGTCTTCCTCTATGACCTAAAGACTTTGGAATCAGACAAAAGTGGATTCAGATTCCATCTCTTACAACATACAATATGTGCAACCTTGAGGCTACTAGCCTCACTTTCCTCATCTATAAGATGGGTATAATGGTAGAAATCCCTGCATGCAATGATTAAAGATTTAGAATTAATCCCACTTCATTGTACCAGTTCCACAAATCTTAGCAATAGCTATCATCAAGATTATGATGAGGGTTTGATATGTACCAGCCCGCTGTGGTGTGTGCCTTAAAACCATTTTGTCATTCACTCATTCCACAACACTCCAGATAGGTGTTATCAATATTTCCAGTTTACAGATGAAGAAACTGAATCATAGAACAGCTGTGGTTGGTATTGTTTGTACTCTTGGTGACAGGTATAAGCACAGATCCTACAGACTATCCTCCTGAGTGGACCAGTAGAGCTAATGATTCTTGGAAAAGAAGCAACCTAATCTCACACTTGGAAGGACCATTTCCAATTCTTTCTGTCACTGGAAGGATGTGTGTCCCAAATTAAGTGGGATGACAGAATCACATTCAGTGACCTCACCCTCAGCAGTATCTTTCATAATCTCAAGGATTAGACCTCAGCCCTCCGGAGCCAGGAGGCCATGGCAGTCCTTACTATCTTGCCTCCTTCACTGTTTCTTTTCAGGTAACTCCCCATCTGATGAGTCGGAGGAGAGGGAAAGAGACCCCAAGGTGCTGACATTCCCAGAATACATCGCTAGCCTGTCAGACTCTGGCACCAAGCGCATGGCAGCTGGAGTCCGCATGGAGTGCCAAAGCAAGGGACGATGTCCCTCATCTTGCCCCTTGTGTCATGTGACGTCCAACCCTGACACCCCTGCTGAGCCAGTTCTGCTGGAGGTGACCAGAGCAGCCCCCATCTATGAGCTGGTGACCAACAACCAGACCCAGAGGGTAAGAGGCCTGGGACTCTTGGCTCTGGGAGGCATTAACAACACAGGGCTTCCAAGTAGCTAGAGAAAGCGACATGGTGTAGTTGAGCTCTATCCGCTTGAATCCCAATAGAGAGGCTTTTTGTTCAGCTAATCCAGAAACCTTGTTTGCTCAGTTTTGCATGTTTGCACGTTTTAGCCAGAAACTCCACAGTAATATGATCCAGGGGTCACAACTGAGCGCTGTAGAGTCTTTGAACAAAGAAGGCTGAAGGGAAGTAGGTGGAGAGAAAGGCACGAGGTTTGTGATCACCAGCCACTGCAGGATTCTCATGCCTCGGGAATAGTCGTAGGGTGGATGTTCAGCTCTGTCTCACCCTTGTTGGCATGGGAGGTGGGCTATCTCCCTAACTGATCCCCAAGCCTGGGACCAGCTGCCATTGGACTAGAAGGAGCATATTATGCACAGGTTCCAGAGGAAAGGTCTGGCAGCCTCAGTGGAGAGGGATGGTTTCCTTCCCATCACTGGCTCTAGGAACAAAGCACCACATCCATGCAGTTCTTCCTGCCTTTTATTATGATGCTAGATCATGACATTTCCCAACTACCCCTCCTTCACCTCTTCCTGTCCCTCCAAAGATATCAGGAGAAAATGAATGGACCCAAAGTGATAGATAAGCTGAAGTAAAGGGGCAGAGGCAGTGACAGTCCATTCATAGCCCTCTACCTCTCAAGGACCTACAGGTTAGGGTAAGTCACAACACACAAACAGCAACAGCAGTGACAAAAGCAAAAACAGAAAAGCTCCAGGTGTGGGACTTCTAAGACTACAGGCCAGGTTGCTTGGGGACAAGCCAGCATGAGTGGCAGCAGTGAGCTGCTTACCTGACTGAGAGGTGTGCCCATCCAGGTGGGGTGGTAATTGCTTTCTTTTTTCTTTTTGAAGGGACACCTGGTGTGTCACAGTTTGTTTCATAGGTGTTGCTCAGACCAACAGGAGGGCTTTTTGTGTGTGTGTGTTTGTTTCTCTCGCCTACCCGCCTCTGCCACAGATATTTCAATGAGTGTTTGAAAATACGGTTTTTCACAGGAACAAAAAGACAGTTTGTTCCTTCAGCCTACAAATTCCTCTTAAATCTGATAGAGGTGGCTCTGGGGAGAGGAGTGGGAGAGAAGAGATCACCAGAGGGGGGCTGAAAGGAAGAAAGGAGGACGGGCTTGGGTCACTGTGGAGACCCAAAGCTGCTGTGGTTTTTATGCAATCCCAGCCCTTCCCTTGCCCACCCCACTTTGTCTTCCCATGGCTGCAGCAGCTGATAACCTAAGATTTTCTGTTCCAACCAACTGGGGACAGTGTAGTCAGAGAACTCAACAGAAACATGCTATGAATCAGTGTGTGCAATGCTGCAGAGTAAAACGCTTAGTGAGAGAAGAGGGATGTGTCCCTGATATCTGTGGGGGGATCACAAGCAAAGTGAAGATGCTGAAAGAAGTTTGCCTTCTTCACCTCCCTTTCTGTGTCCTCTACTTGCCTAATCTCAGCTGTTTCCTTTTGCCTTAAACAAGTCATGTGGGGGGGGCAGGGATTGTTTTCCTTCTGGCCTTATTTTAAACACTTTAAGCACAGATAAAGTAATTTTAGCAGGAGTTCAGTTACTGTCAGGAGGGTCTCCTTTCCTCTTTCCTTTGGCATATTTTTCCTTTGACATCCCTCCTGTTATTCTGTTTTTCATTCCAATTTTGTCCCTTCTCCCAAACAATGGAGACAAGGAATATATAAGCTAAGGATGCATGCTAGGTCCTGGCACACTAAGTGACTCCCTGTGTGTTTTTATCTCTATCTCTCTGGTATGTTTTCTTTGGGATCATATTCTGACCTCTCTTGTTTTCACTGTCCTTCTTCTGTTGGACTATATAATCTCTAATGTCATGCTTTGGTCTAATCTGTGATTGTGATAAAGAAGTAGACCAAACCGCTTAATCAACCCAACAAATTTGAGCTCACCATCTCTAACCCCAAACTTATACTTGTTGTTCTGCTATCTAAGTTAATGGCACTATCTTCCTTTAACTTGCCCACATTAAACACAAGGGGTGCCTCCTATAATTTCCTTATCATTCCCAGCATCTATTCCATCACCAGTAGAACAAATACTGCTGGAATCCAGTCTCTTTTATGAGACCCTCATTACAACCCAACTATCTGACTATATTGAATCAAAGTTGAGTGATTCTTCAGATTGATTATGATTTAGAGTCCTTAACATATCTTAACAATTACATTATTAGGCTGTTACTTCTCTATACCTTATATTCTTTACTCCAAAATTTAATTTCTTATACCTTCTCAAACACAACACATTTTCTCTCTTATATCTAGCCCTTTAGACTTCCAACTCCTTGTACCAAGAATGTCCTATCCCACATTTCTGCCATTGGAAAACACAATTATGTCAAGTTTCAGCTCAAACATCACCAGCTATCAAAAGCCCTTCTCTTATTCTCCTAGTAAAACACAGGTATTCTTTCCTTTAATTCCCATTATCTGTGTATATACATCTTAAAATATGCATTACCTACTATCATAATTATGTACAGTTATTTATTCCTGTCTAGTCCATGAGAAATACATTTTCTTCTACAGAATGCTTAGCAGTAGTTAGTTGGTGCTCTGATAAATAAATGATTGAATAGATCCATAAATGTATAAATCAATGGATAGATGAACTTGGCTTGAAAGTTCAACTGCTCTTTCTCTAAAAAGAAAAAAAAATAGAAATTTTTAATTTCTTTTCTAAATTCAGAATTAACTCTGATAACAAATGCAGATTCCCCCTGAAATGCATAGTACATTGTAGGTACTAAGAAAAGTAGAATTTCCCTTTCTCTTCCTTTTTAAGAGTTTCTTCTTGATTTCTCTCTTCTACTCTGTGTTAGTCAGTCTTTCATCACTGTGACAAAAAAATCCTTGACAGAAACAACTTAAGAGGAGGAAAGAGTTATTTTGGCTTACCATTGCAGAGATTTCAGTTCATGGGTTCCTGGCTCCATTGCCATGGTCACCTGTGAAGAGGGAGAACATCATGGTGGCAGGAGTGTGTGGCAGAGGAGGCTGCTCACCTTATATCAGCTGAGAAGCAAAGAGGGTGAGAGAGGAAGGGCCTAGGAACAAGATAAACCCTTTAATGACACAACTTCCTCCCCTGTGACTTCCTTTCTCCCCCTAGGCTTGACCTAATAGCTTGTTCTGCTATGAAATGACTTATCAATAGATTTATCCATCGAGGTTTTTTCCCCTCATATTCCAATCACCTGTCAATAGTGCTATGAGCTGGAGACCAAGTCTTCAACATATAAGCCAAGCCTTTTAAGGGATGCTTCATCTCCAAATCATCACACATTCTCATCCAACTGTATGCACTTAAATGTAGCTCAGGATTCACACCATGAATGAGAGTAGAAACTCTCATGGAGTGGTATGAATCCAAGTTAGAAAGTTAAAACTTTTGAAGAAATTACATTTAAAATGTGTTCTTCCATGTTCATTTGGATAGAGGATGTGATCATGTCGCCTCCCCGTTTAAAACACTTCAGTGGCTTACCATTGCTCTTAAAATGTGACTTCCGCTTCCTTGTCTCGGCCCATAGCGCATCATGTAATCCATCTCTGCCTCTGTTTCACTTGCAGAGCACATCTTTGCCTCCCACTCTGTCTCTTACAGACAGACAAGCCATTTATAGTTAGTTTAAGAAAGTGTCATCCAGGTCCAAGTCTTAATATTGCCCTTTCTATGCATAACACTACCCCAGTTTTTCTGACCAGATAACTTTTTAAAAGCCTGAGATACAAAGTGAGCCATGTTGAGCTCAGTTCCTGGTACTGCCCCCTTCACTAACCTATAAGCCTGAGCAGGTCACCTAACTTCTTTGACTCTCAGCATCCTCAACTGTAAATCATAATTACTGTTTATCAAAATTTTAGCATCTAAAAGGGCCTTATACATTATAAAACTCTACACAAATCTGTTAAAATCTAGAATTGGTTCATGCTCCAAGATGCTCCCAATTTGGGGAGGGGAGTCAGCATGGATTCTTATTCCATGTATTCTAACCTCAAGTGGCCAATGCCAAGTTCTGAAGGAATAGGACATAGAACATACTGGCTTCAGGTTCAGATATTTGGATTTGTGTAAAGTTATCTCTTTCTTTTCCCTTCCTTTTTTTCTTCCATCCTTCTTTCTCTATATTATTCCTTTTCTTCTAGTCTCTTCTTCTTGAAGTATTTGGTCTAAACTTTTCCTGGACTGTTGTGTTTCATTTCCTTAATTTCCCAATTTGGTGTGGGTGCATCGTTAGTGAAACAGAGAAGAAAATATTAAGGAAAAGACAAGGCTGTAGGTAGATAGTGACCCAGAAAGAAAGCTCTGAGCTTGTCTAGCTTGGAACAGTCACCTTCACTCTGGCCTGAGTGAAGGAAGCAGGAACCAACTGTATCCCATCAGAATCAATTTTTCTCCAGGGAATTGTCCCCAATCACAAAATCTGTTACCTCAGTGGTATAAGTTTATCCTTTTTACTTTTATATAATAGTAAACATCTCCGAGATATCAAAGAATTGTGCTAGACTCTGATTTTTATGAGGTTCTACCTAAGACTCAACTCTGTCATTCAAAGAATGATAATTGCTAAAATTTATTGATGACTAATGTGTACTAGATGCTGTGCATGTTATTTCACTTGGAAAACATTATTTCACTTAATTGTCACAACACCCTTATTGGGAAAAATCTATTTTTATTCCATTTTATCATTGACAAAACTGAATTTATGGAACTTGTCCAAGGTCACGTGGCAGTGACTAGCAAAATGGGTTCTCACCCCAGAAGACTGATCCATAACACCGCTCTTAGTCTTTGTGATACATGGTTTCTCCTATTCATGGTCTACTAAGAAAGAGATGCCCAATGCCTAATCACCCCAAGGCAGAGCTACGTAAATATTGTAGGTTACAAGGCATACTGCAGGAATGTGAAAGAAATACTAGAGCAAGATGGAGAGAACAGATAAGGATATACAGAGAGATTTTTGAAGAACGACAAAGTGCTTCCGGGCAGAAGGAAGACCAGTAAAGTCAGGCCACCCAGAGATGTGTGGAAAGAGGTGATTGCTCCTGGTGCCTGTAATGTGAGGAGAGAGGAAGAGGAGGGGAACAAAGGAATATGACTCACTTCCAATGTGATAGCTCTTAACCACAGAGATAAACTACTCTGGGAAAAGGACACCCCAGAGTTCCTATAGGTCTCAAGCTTCCCAGAAACCATCTCCTAGGATAAGAGTTTTAGACCAAAAAATGGCAAAGTTGTTATCACCTGCTCTCTGGAAGTAATTTAGGGCCACGCAGAGTCTTGATGCTCTTATCTCTTAGTTTTCATGACCCAGCCCTGGCTTCCTAATACTTACTCTTTGCTTTCTTGTGCAGCTCTTACAGGAGGCCACCATGAGCTCTCTCTGGTGCTCAGGGACTGGAGACGTCATCGAGGACTGGTGTCGGTGTGACTCTACTGCTTTTGGAGCAGATGGACTCCCCACCTGTGCACCTCTCCCACAGCCTGTGTATGGTTCCCTTTCTCTGCCTATCTTGTGCATGTATGACTCAGCACCATTCTAAAAAAGAAGTATTGAGTTTCTACTACTTACAAAGCTAAAAAAGTTAGGTGCTGGGACCAGAAAAAAGAATGTAGCACAGTATCTGCATAGTACATGTGTGCAGCAGGCAAATTGTTATAGTAGAAAAGAATAACATGGATAAGAAAATGTGAAGAGAGTTGGTTGAGTCTAAATTTTGGCAATGGTTAAGGTTTCATGGAGATGGCAATTAAACTTCTGAAAGAAGGAAAAAGTAAGATGCATGGTTAGAAGATGATAAGGGTAGCAGTGCTATTGTAATGGAAGAACTTAGAGATCTATATTGAGAATTTAACAGGACCAAAACACTACCACTTTTCAAACACTTACTAGATGTCGGGCATTATATTGTTACCACACCTCCTCCAAGGAAATGGGCTCAAATGGATTGAATTACTTTTCCAAGGTGACAGAATAGGATGCAGGGCCATGACTAAGAAGCCATGTTCTCAGCCATTACGACATGGACAGGATAAAGCTGAAAAATGATTGTGGGTAAAACAAGGCTTGGTGTGTGATTGACTATGAGGATGAGAAAGAAGGAGAAGCTGAGAATAGACTTACTAGACCTGGGTGGCTGCAAAGAGGACTAGGCCACAACTGAGAAAAGATATATCAAAGGATGGGCAGATTTGGGGAGAATGTCTGTACAATTTGGGCTTGCCTGGGAGCAAGTTTTATAGTTCTATAGATGTTCTATGGACAGAGAAAAAGATGGATTTCTGTGGAAAAAAAAAATAGAGGTGAGAAGATTTAAGTCAATCCTGAAGAAATGGAAGATGGAATCACAGCTGTGAGAAAGGATTCTCCAGAACAAGTATCAAGTGTGAAGAGCAGAGGGGTGGGGATGAACATTAGGGCATGTCTTCATTTGAGGGGGAAAGAGGATAAAGTGCCTTAAAGGTGCTTGAGAATGAATATGCTCAATTTCTTTCTCCTTAAGAGAAGACTAAATAGAAGTGAACAAACTGAGGGCCACAGCCTGACACAGAAACCTGGCTTAGTCTCTAATATGGCATCTGCCGTAAGAGTGCACAGAAGTACTGTGTCCATGAAAGAGTGTTTCTAGGACAAGCTGGTGGAACATGACCCCATGTGTTTGTAAGGCAAAGGAAGCCCAATGAGAGAAGCAGGATCTGTGATAGCTGGAGGGCTGAGTAAGCAAAGCAAGAGGCTGTAGGTGAGAACCAGCAAGTGGAGACTTTCTTCTGACCTGTCTTACAAAGGTACAGGTGGACATTAAAGAGCCAGGACTGAATAAGAAGAAAATTGAGAAGAAAAAACACATTCGTGGAGCATCATTACAAACCAATGTCTTCTCTTGTCCACTGTCTCCTTTCTCTATATATGGGGTTTTAGATACACCAACCATTGGCTTCTTTCTCTTTATGGTCATTCTTGAACTTCTAGAATCAGAAGAGAACCACATTCATCATTAGTAAAAGTCCTTTCATTTAGTAGAAAAGGAGCCAATAAGAGTCAGGTGCTGTTAGATGGATTCACCAGGTAAGAAAGCTACCTTTGAAAGGTAAGACTGAAACCCTCAAACAGTTATCGGATTGACACAAGGTCCAGGCACTGCATGCATCCCAAGGCTTATTTTATTTCTAAATCTGCATTTACTAAATGTCGTTGTTTAAGATCAAGTTCAGCTAAAGTGCCATAAAACAGGAAACATCTGTTAAGGACTTCACTTTCTTGTCAACTCTGATCACTTCTTTCAATAACAGACCTTAGTTCTTGCATTTTAATTGGTAGTTGGAAATAGAAATGTAGTCTAATTTTTACACAAGTCCATGTAAATCATACACACTTCTATTTCTCAGTAGGAACTGGCCTTAGTCCTTATTTTCACAGAATTGGAGTTCTCAGAAGGCTTAGTTACTTACTTAAGCTTCCTAATTCTTTCTCTTTAAAATAGCACTCAGCATATGACTCTAATTAATGAATTTGTCAATATCCACACTGTTTTGGGTCCCTTCCATCTTAAAGTCATATGCAAACTATGCACTCTTTCATGGTAGCCACTAGCAGAAGAGCATGTGTTTTTTATTATTTTCTCACTAGTTGAACTCCTTACTATTGCTCCCATAGCATCCCATAATTTCTTGTCGAAGTTCTGATCATATGTGTAATTGTATATTTCTATTACTCACCAAGCTACATAAAAGAAGGAGGTGGGTAGGCTTGTTTGCCACTGCATTCCTAGCATTGAGTACATCCTTACAATTCATAAGTATTTCATAAATATTTATTGCATTGAAATTGAACATCGAAGATGGTTTGGTGTGATCCAGCCACATTATTGTGCCCTGTGATCTTTGAGACCAAGCAGAAGCACCTGTAAGCTGAGTGACAGGGTAGGAGGGCCTGGACTGTGGATGCTTGTGTGATAGAGGAGCAAAGGACAGGGGTGAGTGGCAGGGATACTTGCTGGAGTGAGCAGGAACTGGGAACATTCTCAGAATCCAATGTTCTAGGAAGAAATAGGGATTTGGAAGCAAGAGGGAACCTTGAGACACATACAAGAAGTCAGAACAAGACAATAAATTGAAACCACTTGGACAACAGGACAATACATACCCATGAATATCAGTAATGATTACTGAGTCTCCACAAGCTACAAAGAAGTCCAAGATGGCAAAGCAAAACTGGTCCAAATGGACAATTTGTAAAGAATAAAGAGACTATGAACTGGGAAAAGCAAATAGGGACGGAAGTCAGTAATCAAGATTTCATAGAAACCCAAAACCAAAGACAGAAACTGAAATCAGAACCCCTGAAATGTTAGGCAAAAGACATTGCTCCAAGTAGAACTTGACATGTTAACAACCTTATGATATGTGAACATTCCCAATGAACACTATTTCCAAACTGAGCCTGTTCCAAGTTCCAGACAGCAAATGGCTTGGGGAGAAGCCATATTGGTATTCATAGCAAGAGGGAAAGTGGGATGGGCAGGGAAGATCCTGATAATTATGGAACCTAAACTAAACCATGGCCTCATTAATGCAAGATTCTCTTTGACACCACTTCCCATGAGCTTTTATGTATATGTGCATTACACACATTTTCTTTTAATATTTCTCAGGATCAAATTCAGAAGTTATATTTTAAAACCACAAGTTCTACCCCCAAATCCATATCCTCTGACCTATGTAACATAGACATTCATTGATCATTACTCATCTACTTACTTATTTATAAATAGATGCATAAAACATGGATATCATGTGTCCTCAGGAAGCCCTAAGATTGTTTTTTCTAATTTATTGAGAAGAGTTTACAATGCAACAATTGAGAAAGCAGCCAGTGACCAATGCAGGTCTCAGCTGTGTCCCTGTTTTATGTTCTTTCCTTTTTGCACTCAGGCTAAGACTGTCCACAGTTCATGAGCCCAGCAGTACCCTTGTGGTTCTGGAGTGGGAACATTCAGAGCCACCAATTGGGGTGCAGATTGTAGATTACCTCATCCGTCAAGAGAAAGTCACCGACAGGATGGACCACTCCAAAGTGGAGACAGGTGAGCACGACCATCTCCTGGGCCAGTCTTGATCCAAGGGGATAAAAATAAAGCAAAAGAAAGATACCATGCCTTGCAACTTTGCTCTAGGCTCCCAGTATCGCAGGGCAATGCAGAAGAAGCAGGGAGAAGAAACAGCAACCATCTTGTCCATTTCAGAATTTTTGCATGGTGAGCATCTAACAAAGTCTTGTTTTGATTTTGCTTTTCTTTTTGTTTATAAAAGAGGTGTCCATTTCATTGCCTCTAGGCACACTCACAAAGAAACAATACAGTACACTAGTTATCCTAGCCCACAATTAGGAAACAATTCTCTGCTAACCACTGCCATGATTACAGGAAAAAAAATTCCTTTGCTAATAACCCCCTCCAGGCCAAAGCATGTGCAAACAGATGCGCTTGCTCCATGTCTTGTCCTAAAGCAAACTCTGCTTTTGTCAGGTCCAGCTAGGAAAGGGAAGTCTTAAAGGAGTGGAAAACACCCCATGGAAAATGTTCCATGCCTTATTATTTCACTGTCTATACATAGGGAAAGGCCAACATAAATATTTCCTAAGACTTACACATGAAGTGTGGTCCTGAACAGGATGGTGACACAATCTAATTCAGGGTAAATAGCTTCTGGTGAACTTGTTACTGAGACTTGGAGACACATGCAGCCTCCTTTAAGCATGGAGAGCTGCCCAATGCTGCTTCTGAGATATTTCTCCTGGTGCACATAGGTATTGCTAAGGTATGGTAGTGACCAATGCCCAGATTAGCTGTTCTCTGTCCATGCTTAGGATGGTTCATGGAAGAGTTCACAGATGTGGAATGTGCATCCTACCTTAGTTATTTCTAAAATAACTCTGGACAAATGGCTATAATTTTATTATTTAAAAAAGAAACAGTCAAAAAGACCATTTCCTTCTAGGTCTCCTTTCTCTATTGGGAACTTAAGAAGATTGGGGACCAAGTGATTTTAATAATTTCTCATTGAGTTGCTCATTGATTGGCCATCACTGTTTCTCAGGCCTTTTCCGTTCCTTCCCCTCTGGACAGAAACAGTGCTGAGCTTTGTGGATGACATCATCTCTGGAGCAAAGGCCCCCTGTGCCATGCCATCTCAGGTACCAGATAAACAGCTCACCACCATCTCTCTTATCATACGATGTTTGGAGCCTGACACCATTTACATGTGAGTAACGCACATTAGTCTAGTGAGTCCTTACCCAGAAAGCCTCAGAGTTCTTTGCTGGTACTGCTTTGCTACTGGAGTTCCTTTAGAGACTTGGCAAAAGTTTCTAAATCCCAATCAGCATTACAGAGAACCTTCTTGAATGGCTCAGGTATGGGAGTGAGTAGGATCTAGAAAAATAATAGTCCTGTCCCTCAAGGAGTTGCAATGCAGAGGGGGAAATATAAAATCAATTAATTTTAGCAGAAGGCAGAATGGAATAAATGTTAGATAGAAGAGCAAGGAATGTGTTAAAGAGAAAAGAGTGGGTGTCCTCAAAACTGGTTCCAGCGTAGGAAAGAACCAGGGTGAAGATGAAGAGTGATGAAGGAAGTACAGGTACTCCAACAGGGCTGAAGCCAATGGTGAGGAGAAGAGAATGGAAGAAAATGAGACCAGGAGCAGACTAAATGATGCAGGTCAGTGAACACTACTAAGTTTTTTAAAAAGGAGAAAATACCAAGAACTGTGCTTAAGAAGACTAGCTCCAGTGATGCTGCAATAATGTGTAGAGTTTAGAACAGGTCAGCATCTTTCTTTAAAGAAAATACAGTGAATTATATCACAGCGTTTGGAACATCCCTACTTTCTCCTCTCTTTGAACTCTTCTCCATCCATCCTTGTGCTTAGGGAACAATTGTAAAATATTTGTGAAGTGGAGACATAAAAGACGCCAAATGAGGAGATATGGTGACAGAATCTAAGTCATGATGGAAAAATTTGGGGGCTAAGACAGAATTCATAGTGATGCAGTTCTGGGACCCTTTGACTCCATCAGTATGAAAAACATTTAACAGTTTACAGATGAGGTCACAGGAACAGAGTCAAGGTTTCCAGAATAAATCATTTCCATTTCCACAGTTAAAGAGTTCAAAGATGAAAATCACTGGAAATTTGAGTGGCTTTGATTGTGCTGAACTTCGATGCCCCAGCTGAATATCTTCTCTACAGGAACTGGAGATGCAAGTAGCGACCACACAAGATGGGAGTAAAATATATAAAGACAAGTGACATCTTACAGGGCTTGAGAAGGCAGTACAGACATAGATAATAACACTAAGATCAAAGCATGTCTGTCTATGTTGACGCTAGGTAGCTGTGCCCTTCTGAGAAGAGCAGGTAAAAGAAATAAGGATTTGGGAATGCAGACCACCAACTTGCTATAAAGGTCCTCACACTCAAATGAGACTTGTATTATCATTTATAATAAGTGTTCAATAGTTTTAGTCACTAAGTTACAAGTGTTAACTAAGAATGTCAAAGTTTCTGTGAGCAAGAGGTTGGCACAGCTTTCTTTTAGGAGAACCAGCCATTATCCAATCTGGAACCCTCTCTGTGTTGGCCTGACTTGTCTTTGTTTCCTTATCAAAGACCTGAGGCAAATACCTTCTCCCAGTCTCATCATCCTTGGCAAACTTCCAGGGTGCCCCTCCTACGCCTTGTAAAACACAAGCTTTCTGTAATGTTGATTATCAAAGAAGTCTAAGATTCATGGGACTAAGGAAAGAACAGCCAACCTCCACTAGGTGGCACTGCAGATCACAGTAAGAGGGTGATGGGTTTGCAGAGTGACTTTTCTCCCTGCTGAAAATCAAGGGGAGCCTGTTTAGACCCTGGTACAGGGAAAGAGCCCTGTATTGAGTTGAGAATACATGGGCCTCATGCTTGGTTTTTGTTCTAACCTCCAAGTGACTGTAAGTAGGACCTTCTGTAGCTGAGTTTTCTTATCTATAAAATGGGAGGAAGGGAGCTGTCATTTATGGAGAGCTTTGTGTGGGCTCTTCGTAGTGACTATGTCCAGGGATCCTTTATGACCCTATGAGATTGGACTTATTTCCCCCATTTTATAGTTGAGGAAATTGAGGCTTGGCAGAACTGTAATTTCTGCACTACTTGTTTGGGGGTGTGGACAATGATTAGGAATCAGGACTTGGGTTGTTTTTTTTTTTATACATCCTAGATTACTGGTTACTGTAAAGCTCAAGTACTGTGATTCTGGGGGGTGTTTTTGGTGGTGATTCTGGGGTTTGAACTCAGGGCTTCACACTTGCTAAGCATGCATTTTACTATTTAAATCAGGCCTCAACCCTGGTAGCATGATCTTATTACCTCACAGTGAAGCATAGAGCTGGCTCCTCACTGGGGTTCTCAGAGGTAGAGCTGAATTTTGGCTGGCTTGCTTTGTCAACCAATATATATTATCTTAATACAGTTTAAAATGCATTATTCTGAGAAAGGTCCATGACACAAACAATTAAGAACCCCTAATTGAAATGGATCTTAACGTGTGTTTGGTACAATATCTTCATTTTACAGAGTGAGGAGGTGACTTACTGGCCTTCCAGTTCACTGCCTCCTCATCACAGCACATGCCCACAGAAGAGACACTGACTTTCTGGGCACATGACAACAAACAGATAATTCAGGAAAAGGTAGCTGAATTAGAGGGATGAGTAGAAACCAGCATGCCTGGAGGAGCAAAACAGGGGGCTTGCAATCCTCATGCACATTAAGTTCCAGCCTTTAAGACCCAGTCTGGACCCAGAGCCAATCTGTGTCCATTCCCACGCACACATGCCCCCATCCGTGTCATCACCACGTCGCTAACTACGCACTGAACCGTCTCAGTCGGGCGGCTGGGGAAGGAGCCCAGAAACTTTGGACAGAGCAGTAAATTTGCTTCCACATGAGCACTGTGGATTTGGAGCAGGCCTTATCTCTTCTATCCAGTAATTCCAGCTAACCCTCTTACTGTCCAATGAGTGTGCAGTGGTAGGAACGATAATATTGACAATAAACAGAGAAAGCCTTTCTGAAATGAATGCACGTGGCATTTCCACAAGAAAACGTGTCAAGCTCTCCCAGCCCTTAATAGTTAAATAAACTGGCTGCTCTCTCAATGTCCCTGGGGTAGGGGTGGGGGGAGCTGGGACAGCTGAAGAGTAGCTCTTAAGGTCGAGATCTGTCTCCACTTGGAAGGTCGCATGAGGCATTTCCTTTCCTAATATCTGCTTCGTATTAAAAATAAAGTACACTATTGAAATAGTTTAGAGCTTCAAAACCTAAATTTTACACTGGTTGCCCTTTGAAGTATGTGAGAATTAATGGATGCTTGGGCATCTTTGTCTAGTTTAGGATCTTATACAGTTGAGGTGGAACTTATAGCATGACCAGATAGAAAGCAGAGTTGTCCAGAGGAGTGGGACAAGCTTGGGGTGAGTTGAGGACCAGTCACTGACAGGGTCTATCTGGCAACCAATTTTGTACCTGAGGATTAAGGCATTTCTGTACAGAGAGCAAGGAAGATGCTTGAAATTAAGCTCAGGGTTTGTGGCTAGGATCCAGCCATAAATTGTCTAGCACAGGTGCCTTCACCACACTAGCAGGTGACATCAGGCAACCCATTAGTGGTAGTCAGACTGCAGCTTTACCTGGATTTTCAAGGCCATGCTCAGAGCCCTGGTAGGCATTAGGAAAAGACAAAACAGAATCAGATCTACTGATTCCCTTCTGCATAGAAGACCTTGGAGTCTCTCTTTTTCTTCTCCATTTTCCTCTACCACCCAAGGAGGAAATTTTATGTTCAGCCTTTGATATCCAGATTTTCACCCTCTTCCCAGGATTCCCTCAGAACTATTGTTGGAATCGGCATTTCTGTTCAGAGGAACAGAAGGAGCTGCAGGTAGGAAATGAACTGTCTAGTCATGGACAAGTCAAGGGATCCTCTACTCTGGGTGTTTCCTTCTGACTTTAAAGAGGGGACTTGTTACAAGTGGTTTGCATAAAGGTGTCAGCTGAGCATGCCACAGAACAGAACTAACATGACTTATAAAATGTCATCACAAAATGATCCAGGGCTTTCTGTACATTATGATCTCATTTCATTCTTACCATCACTTAGAAGTAGTCTTATTACCATCTCTGTTTCACAGATAAGGGAAAATAAAGCTCACAGGAGTTAACTGTAACTCCACATGGCCTCTTTTTTTTTTCATTTTTATTTTATTATTCATATGTGCATACAAGGCTTGGTTCATTTCTCCCCCCTGCCCCCACCCCCTCCCTTACCACCCACTCCGCCCCCTCCCTCTCCCCCCCAATACCCAGCAGAAACTATTTTGCCCTTATCTCTAATTTTGTTGTAGAGAGAGTATAAGCAATAATAGGAAGGAACAAGGGTTTTTGCTGGTTGAGATAAGAATAGCTATAAAGGGCATTGACTCACATTGATTTCCTCCACATGGCCTCTTATCCAAGTTCAAGCCAACTGTCCCTCACTTGGTGGTTGTCAAAACTAAACTAGTGTCAGAATTGTGTGCAAGGGAGCTGGGCATGGTGGTTCAATTAGAGTCCTAGCTATTCAGGTAGCTGAGGTAAGAGAATCAGTTGAGGCCAGGAATTTGAGGCCAGTTTGGGTAATGTAGTGAGAACCCTATCTCAGAAGAAAAAGAAAAGTAAAGAAATCACCTGGAAGTCTTGGTAAAGCACAACTTTCTAGTCTCATCCTGAATTCCGTAATTCTGAGGTGAAGCTTGAGATGTTTCCCTGCTCATGAGTTTCTCAGTGCTGAAGCTGCTCTTCTGAGGACCCCATGCCTCCCACCATGATGCCTTCCCTCAGGTAACACACCCAAAACAGCAAATTATAACACAGGGACACAGGAAGCAGGAGAGACTCCAGGTGTGCTCTCCGAACAAAGTGATAGCAGTAAGTATGTCTCAAGCTGAAAAGAGCAGCCAGGGTCATGTCCCATTCAGGCAAGCTGGGCCCCCCAGCCAGGTTGCAGAGCTGCAGTGTCCAGCCATGTCCTCTCTATTAATGATATCTTCCACTTCCCTGATAGGTTCACTTTATGGGGAGTAGACAACACAGGACGACGATCCAGGCCCAGTGATGTGATCGTGAAGACCCCATGCCCTGTCGTAGATGACGTCAAAGCCCAAGGTAAGAGACATTGGAGCTAGCAGAGTCTGCAAAGGGATGCCCCTGGGACCTCCCTTTGCCACCAGAACAGGGACCATGGGAATCGAACGGAATTAACTTGCAAGGTGTAGTATACCACACTTGTGATCCCAGTAATTTGAGAGGTGAAGGTAAGAGGTTCAGAGGTTCAAGGTCAGCCTGGGCAAAGTTAGTGAGAGCCTGCTCAAAAACAAAATATACAAACAAAAGATCTGGGAGCATGGCTTGAGTGGTAGACCCCATTTGTCTAGCATGCTGGAGGCCCTGGGTTCAACTCATAGTATCACCAAAAAAAAACATAACCTGGAGTTCAGTGTGTGTGTGGGAAGTATTCAAGGCCTAGGAGCAAAGCCTATGCTTTCCAGAAATACTCCTCAGTCTCTGCCCACTGACAGAAGTCCTCATTGCCTCATTGTTCTCCATTGTCCCCTGCTCAAGTACTTGCCATCTCTGCCCTCAGAATGCTTATGAGGTCACTTACTCCTCACGGATTTTTTTACATCTGAAAGGTCATTTTGAGTAAAAGCATACAAGGCCACAGATTTGGAATTAATTACTGTATCACTCCCTCCCTAAGAAAAATGCATTGAAATCTATATTTTGGAGTTGTTATAGAACCATTCTTTGATAAAGAATCATCCCTTTTCAGTTTAAGTCCCACACTGGGATTGGACCTGGCTAATTAGGAACTTGGTGTTCAGTCAGTATCCAAAACACACAATGCTCCCTGCTGGTCTTGACATCGTCTCTTACTCTATAGTTTTCATATCTCTACACACAAATTTTTCCATCCTGGAAGGGCTACAGCACCAATTATAGTGATCTGATCAACGACTAATATCTATTGGATAGAATGGAACTGAACGTGTTTGCATGTTAACAGACACGTTGACTGATGCTGAAAGTCTAGGTTGTGCAGATTTCAATAAGAGACCCATTACAACTGCGCTGATTTACTGGTACCCTTCAGTAACCTTACATGTAGCTCTGGACTCTGGCTGTATCTGATTGATCAGGAGGGCACATCCCAGAATGCCCAAGGGTGACTCCAGTATGATGCTTCCCCTGTAATTGTTTACAGGGGAAGACTGACATAGGCCTACTCTAATTATAGCTGCTGAGATGTAGTGGACAACTTCTGGAAATATTTTCACATTTAATCCACATGGCATGTTAAGGGCCTGGAATTTTCACCATAGACGTTGATCATATCAAGACCTCCTTTTACAAGTTTTTAATGGATTGCCATTCCTCCTGTGACATGTTTACTCGACATATTAGGGCCTAACAGGGTAGCTCTTGTCTACCTCTCCAGTACCTCCTTGCTCACTTCCCACTCCTCAGCCAAGCTCTGCATTCCAGTCTTACTGTCTTACTCAATCCCTTCAAACCATTGTCACTTCTACTATAGGGCCTTTGCACATGTTGGTCCCATTACCTCAATACTCTCCACCCTCACCCCTTCCAACTGATTAATTCATCTCAGCCTGTAGATCATAAATTAAGTGTCCTCTCCTCAGGGCAAAAGCAGATAGGATGCGCTGGCTAGGAGTCCTCATAGTACCTTGTTTCTTTTCTTCCAAACTTTCATCTCCATTTGTTATTATAATGAAGTGTTCAATGTCTCTTTACCTCACTAAACAGTGAGTTCCATGAGGGCAGGGGCCCAGTCTCTTTTTGTTTACTATTATGGTCCTTTGCATGTGGAAGGCAGCATGGTTGACTGGTCACAGCAAAACTTAACCTCTCCATTCAATAGTTCAAGTTCAAATTTCTGCTCCACTATCTACCTCATTGAGCTTTAGTGTGTTACTTTATTCCATGCCTGGGTTTACTCCTCTGTACAATGGGGGGAGAAGGACATAATAGCACCCTCACAAATAAGGGGCTAGTGAAAATTAAATGAATTAATTAATTTAAAATAGTAAAAACAAAAAACAATGCCTTACACATAGTAGTCAATAAATGTCAGAAATCATCATTGTCAATAACCAAGTGTACAGCCTGCTTTCTAATAGTAACTCAAGTATTTCCTGAATGAATAAATAGAATATTGCCCCCATTTGATAGATTTAGAAATGGAGATTCAGAGCACAAGTGAGGTGACTAAGATAACAGTGTCTAATGGAACCCAATTTCCATTTGGTCTACAACAATGCCACGAGATATGAAGTGAGTTATTATGTAAAGGACTCAAAATCTTTTGTTTGTCTCTGAAAGCTGATGAAGAAAAAGATTACCTGAAAAAGTTTCTGCCTTCAGGCAGGGCTGTTAGTCCTCTGAGAGACTACAGTAGAATGGAGACCTTTACATGTGAGACAGGTGGGCTTCTGTCTGGAGGGAGTGTTGCTGGCTTACAGTATGAGTTTGAAGGTGTCTGAAGCTCCTTGATGATGAAAGTAGAGTGTGGGGTCACGTCACACACCCCCACATAAGAGTCTGCCTTAGGGGGATCCACAGCATCCTCTTTTGTTGACTTCTTACTCCATGCTAGAAAGGAACAGGCAATGAGAAGTCACTTTCACTATTCTGTGTTTGCTGGGATCTTTACCAGTAGCTGTAGCCACCTTGGAGTTGCTTGCTGAATAGACAGCCACCTGGTGGAACATCAGGGAGGTGATTAGCGGATGGAAGACATACAGCATAGTGCTACCTGCGGGATGGAGGAGTAGAAAGCAGGTTTAGGATAAAGAGTGACCAATGTAGGGGCAATTGCCTGGGATGAACCATTACCTATTTTCTCTGTAGACTCCTTTGAGTCAGCTTTAGTCCCAAAGTGTATCAAGATATGTTCTGCATGCTCATGCTTCCTGACAAAGGAGAGTTTCTGAGACCCCAACTAGAAGCTGGAAGCACAAGAGCACACTTATTGCTGAGAGAATGAAATAACTCCCAGGTCCTGTTATCCTTCAGCCAGGAAGGAATCCTGCACAGAGCAAATCTGGAGATTAATGAGTTAGACTAATTGAGGGTATCCTTGCAAATTAATACAGTTCTAGCAGTTCTACCAAGGAAAGCATATGCTTTGTCTCCCTCAACCCAGATGGTAATCATAAATATAATTTGCTTGGGTCTGAGTTTAAATCTAATAACAAATGGGAATTACCTTTTAAGTGACCTAGAGTATGACATCAGCTCCTAATTACCTAGACAGAAGCCAGAAACTACTCCTTATGTGAGTGTTTTTTCTAAGCTGGATACTTTCTAAGAAGAATTTGAGTATGTCATGATACTAAAGCCACTGTGTAAGTAAGTTTCTAGCAGTGTTTTATGGAAACCAGCCTGCCTCAGCAGGAGCAAGCTCATGTCAGTAATAAGAGCTACCCTTTGGCTGGCTTGAAGGTCTAGCATGGCCAAGGATTCTTCACAGAGCTTTACTGAGGGAAGGCTAGCTGTCATACATCACTCCTCCAGCATCCATTCTCCCTCCCTGATGCCAAACATATATGTTTCCATCTTTTTATTTGATCTTGTCACAGCCATTTATTATTTTTTGGCATTAGATATTGAAGAAACAAAAGTAATTAGACTCAGAATATGTTTTCAAGAATTTTGTAACCAGAATCCATGAATTTATTAATTCAACCAACAAATATTCAGTCTTAATTATCTGTCCTAAGCATTAGAAGTAAAGTCCCCTTTCTCACAAAACTCACATTTTGGCAGGGGGTGACAATAACAACAACAACAAAATAGTAGATGCTATAATATTTCAGATGATGGTATATTCTATGGAGATAAACAGGCTATGGTAGAGGAAGTGCAGGGGGTAGTTTTTTTATTAGTGTGGTTTGGGAAGAAGGTGAAAGAGGAAGCCACACAGCTATCTTGGGGAAGATTATTCCAGGAAAGAGCAGGACAGAGATTCTGAGGATGTTTGGATAAAGGAGGCTTATGATTCTTGGCTCATGTTTGAAGAAAAGATGGGAGGAGAACTGTAGGAAGAAGAGGAGCAGGAGAGGAACTACCCTATAGGCAGATCCAATAGGGTCTGGTTATTAGTAAAAAATGAACTGTGCCTGCAATTGTGACAGGAAGCCTGGAGGACTTGAGCAGTGACATCAGAGGTGATGTTTTACAGGTTGTTCTGACTGCTGAGATGAGAACAGACTCTAAAGAGGTGGTCTAAGTTGAAAGTAGAAAACTGGCAATTTAGAGGAGATGATACGGTTTTAGATAAGATGGCAGTGACAGAAGTGCTGAGAAGTGGTGTGATTCTAAATTATGCTGATGGACTAACCCAAAGGATTTGCCAATGGGTTGAATGTGGAGCAAGAGAAAAAGAAGAGTCATGTTAGTCTTTTGATATACCATGAACAGTACTATTTACAGGTCTGTATACAATGCTGAGGTAGTACAAACTTGCTCACCTGGTTCAATGGCTTGAGGGTCTCACCCCAGAAGATACCAGAAACCTAGCCATGCAAGGAGAAGGCAGAAGAGGGAGAAAGTGGAGGAAACTAGCAATGGGCCATGTGGATTAGGTTGTAGGGAAGGAAATAGATATAGGGTTGCTGCCTGGCATGAATGAAGAAGCTAAAGCACTGGAGTTTTCATCATTGAAGAATACACTTAATAGCAGTAAGAAATACAGAAGCTGTGAAAAGAGGTTGTGTACATGGTATGTGATTGTAAGACTGACTATTTCAAGGGCAGAACAGTTCTCCAGGATGATGACTGGCTTTTGGTAGTTGGAGGTCTTTGAACCTGGAGCCCTTTCCCACAAGAACTGAAGCTTGTTAGAAATGCAAATTCTCAGGCCTCATGTGACACCTACTGAATCAGGAACCAGTGGGAACCAGCAGTATGGGCTGTAGTCAGATTTCCAGGTGATCCTGATGCACACAAGGGTGTCAATTAGTGGTTAAGGGCAGGAAAGAACAGTTTAGGGAGGGAGGAAAAATGAAGGGGAAAGACATACAGGGCTGGGATTGGAGAAAAGGACTTTGTACAACGTACAATACTAAGAAGTACAGAGAGAA